ACTTTACTGACATAAATATCATTACATCAAAATACATTGAATTTTTTTATAATTTGATAAAATAATTCCCACATCTAAGTTTTAATTTCACAAATAATCACAATTAACCAGTACATAAAAAAAGAAAATATTTAAGAAATAAATATGTGTGTGTGTGTGTGTGCGCGCGCGAATGTGTGTAATTATTAAATATTAGAAATAGAGAGAGAGAGCACGAAATTAAATAAATATATAGTCTAAAATATATAGATAAATAGATAATTATTGCAGGTCTTGCCATAAAATGAAAACGGAAAATAAAAGCATAAAAACTCAATTAAATTCAAATTGTATTGTTAAATAATATAAATTGTGAATTGGATATTGCACGTGATAAAAAAATATTATTTACGAACTAATTAAGAAAAAGTATTCAGTATATTATCATTTATATTTCTCTTTTTCTGTAAATGCTGTAAAAAAAAAATAATAATAATAAGTTTCTGCTCAGGCGCGATGTCGTCAGTCCTTACAGACCCGGAAGTGACGTGTCGTGTAACGTCAGCAACAACAGCAATCAAAATGAAGCTGGTAAGTAAGAATGTGTCATTTTTTATTATTATAAATACTTCTAAAGCATTGTAGTCATAGTTTATGTGTACAGCATGCTTGCGTTCCTCCAATATGACTTTTGAGAAAAGAAAAGTTGTAATAGTCTGCGAATAAAGCTGGTTTAGCTGAACGTTAGCCAGTAAACAGCTCACTCCATCAGACAGATTCTGTCGGTTTGTGTTTATTATTTATACGTGTATGTTTAATTATTCTTCATAAATCGTGTTGATCAGACTGACAGCTGTCTTCTCGTCTCGTTTCCAGGACTCAAATGATGAAGACGATGTGGCTTTATTTGATGCTGAGGAAGATTCAGCCACAAGAAAGAAAAGAATCAAGTGTGTTTGTTGTCATAATTAATCAGCATCATTAATTATTATTAGTTTTTATCCTCTGTCTGTGACCTGTATTTGATGACGCAGCTTTTGACTAGTTATAATAGTAATTATTTAATAATACTGTAATGAAAACGGTGTACATTTTGGGGACATACAGGGACGTCCTCATTTTAAGAAAATAAAAGCAAATAATGTTTATTATTATTAAATTATTTAAATAAATTAATACATTATTATAAATAATTAAATGTATTATTAATAAATAATATTTTTACATTTTATTTATTTTAATATTTTAAATATATGTATACCTTTTTAATAAGTACAGTATATTTTAATATTATTATAATATCACTACATTTATTATTCATGAAATATTCACATATATTGTTATTAAGTGTATTATTACAAATTGAATGTTTAAGGTTAGTTTATAGTAATTATAATATTGTGACAATTATTTCTAACTTTCAATATTAAAAAATAATTAGATGTATTATATTTTAATATGTGATTAATAAATCATTATTAATTATTATTATTATTGAAATAAATTAATGTTATTAATAATAATTATTTATTAATTATTTTTCATTCTAAAAATGCAGTATGTTTAGGGTTTTGGGTTGGTTTATAGTAATAACAAATGAGGTTTATGGTATAGTATCATTTAGATGTGTGTGTGTGTGTGTGTGTGTGCGTGTGTGTGTGATTCCAGGCATCCGATGGCCTCCTTCTTCCACCTGTTCTTCCGGGTCAGTGCCGTTCTGGTGTACCTGTTGTGTGGTTCATTTGGCGGATCCTTCATCGCCTGTATGGTCACCATCATCCTCCTCCTGTCATGTGACTTCTGGACTGTGAAGGTTTGTGTTTAGAACAACTGATCAGGTGTTACTACGAAATCCTTACAGTTACTGTAGTTAGTGGAGATTAAGTCAAGCCTCACTATTACTTCTATTTAAAGATTCCAACAAACCTCTGATCCTACATATTAAACTTCAGCTTGTAACTTGCTTGTCCTGTTTGTCTTATTGTAGAATATTACCGGCCGTCTGATGGTGGGTTTGCGCTGGTGGAATCAAGTGGATGATGATGGAAAAAGCCGTTGGGTGTTTGAGTCCAGAAAGGTGCTATTACACACTCACACGGTCTTCAGTAGAGCGGCATAAAAACTTCAAAATGTATAAAAAAATTGTACTATACCATTTATACTGCAGTAGATGTATTAGTGTAGACGGGACTGCTTTGTTTTTAAAGGGGTCATATGATGCGATTTAAATTTTTCCTTTCTCTTTGGAGTGTTACAAGCTCTTGGTGCATAAAGAAGATCTGTAAAGTTGCAAAGACTAAAGTCTCAAATCCAAAGAGATATTCTTTATAAAAGTTAAGACTCAGCCACACCCACCTAAAACGGCTCGTTCTAACACGCTCCACATGTCTACCTCACTATGTGGGAAGATTTGCATAACGCCGCCCAAATGGCATAAACACATTTCATTACACAAAATACACAAAATAATGTTCTTTTTAGCAACATCATATGACCTCTTTAAAGTTCATATGCTCACCAAGGCTGCGTTTATTTAATCAAAAAACAACGATATTGTGAACTATTATTACATTTCAGCATCATTGCTCCAGTCTTCAGTGTCACATGATCCTTCAGAAAGCATTCTAATATGCTGATTTGCTGCTCAAGAAACATTTCTGATTATTAAAAAGCAGCATTTATTTGAAAAATAATTTATATATTTATATATATATATATATATAATTATAAATGTTTTTACTGTCAATTTAATGCATCCTTGCTGAATAAAAGTATTAATTTATATTAAAAAGGCCAAACTTTTAAACGTTAGTGCATGTATATGACATAGTAAATGTGAATTTGCTTTTCTGCTAAAAATGTGTGAATATTTTCTCCATTTATTCTCATGTTTTGTGTTGCATTAGCTGGGTTTCCATCCAAAGTTGAGAATTTAACTTATGTGCAAAAAAAAGTATACTGCATAAAACATTAGAGAATATTAAGTTAAGAACCAAATAATTTTCGTGAATTAAGGGATTTTTTCCCCCTAAATTTGTCATTTCCATCACTCGTTTCTGATGTGATTACTTCAAAATGCGCATAAAAGCAGGGTGATGGAAACACAGCTACTGAGGTCCTGTCTGGATCTGTGTGTGTTTGTTTGCAGGCCAGTGGGAGTCAGTCTTCAGCGTCCCGATCCTCAAACGCAGAGTCTCGGATCTTCTGGCTGGGTCTCATCATCTGCCCCGTCGTCTGGGTCATCTTTGCTTTCTTTGCTCTCATCTCCTTTAAAATCAAATGGCTGGTGAGCTCTCGGTCTTTGTCACAGACATGAAACTCTGTGAGTTTTGAAGATGATGTTCTGTGAGTGATACTGTCTTCTCTCTCAGGCGGTGGTGATTATGGGAGTGGTGTTACAGGGAGCCAATCTCTACGGATATGTGCGCTGCAAAGTAGGAGCCAGAACAAACCTGAAGAACATGGCCACAAATTACCTTGGACGGCAGTTTCTCAAACAGGTGTGTGATTCAGAAGCATCTTCGTAATAGAATCCTCATTTGACTTACACTGTCTGATGGTACAGTTTGAAACTCCGTTTTATTGTCTTTTTTTATTATTTTTAGGCTTTCACAAAACAAGAGGAGTCTTAGGAAGACAGAATTCACGCCAGTTCCATTGATGAACTTTTAATGCGTTATTTTTTAAGAAATTGAACTAAAATGGTTACTGATTTCTTTGATTTTATTTTTTTTTGTTGTTAACCACATCCTGTTAAATAATGTGTTTGACATTTTAAATACCTTTAACTTCTTTATAGTTTTTGTTTAATATCTAACTCAAAGAGTTCAGAGTATGTGTTTTGTTATATAATATTGCATGACATCATGCATTATGCTTCTAAAAAAGATGTACATATTTATATACTGCTGTAAATTACTGTATACTTTCTTTAGGTACATTTAGGAAAGTTGATGATTGAGTGATTGATTGATTGTATCTCATGTTCAGTGAATTTACGAAATAAATGAAGTTTTGTGTAAAACTGGAGCCGCACTGAATCTCTGGCCAGTGAAGTCACCCACAAACACCACACTGTCAAAGTCAAGTCCCTTTTATACTTATCTAAAGTGGTTTTACCATTACCATGCCATTAGAAATTCCTCTTCACTTTCAATTTTAAATCAATTTGTTCTTTTTTTTTGTCTTTTTTTTTGTGTGACATGTTAATGTCCCTTATAAATATTAATACAATTAAATCATTTAAATTAATTATAAATTAATATCATTATTTTCACATACAGTAAATTGCAAGTTATTAACATTACCTGCAATCTTTGTTATTTGAATTTGTGGTTAATAATAATATTGTGGTTTCAGTCAATTGTTTTATATATAAGTAAGAAAGGTGATCTTTAAATCCCAAAATCTCCGATTTTGCTGAAAAAAAAAGTAGTTTTTTTAGGTTTATTTTAATAATTAACCCACTTTTGTAATATTCTTCTCTATGTCTTATTTATTTATTTAGCTGGATTTTGACTTTTTAAAATTGTAGTAAGTTTTGTATTTCATTCAAGCAACAATTAAAAAAATTAATTATTATTTATTTATTTTAATGATTAACCCACTTTTGTAATATTCTTCTGTATGGCTTATTAATTAATTAATTTATTTATTTAGCTGGATTTGGACTTTTTGAAATTGTAGTAAGTTTTGTATTTCATTAAAGCAACAATTAAGAAAATTAATTATTATTTATTTATTTTAATGATTAACCCACTTTTGTAATATTCTTCTGTATGGCTTATTCATTAATTAATTAATTTATTTATTTAGCTGGATTTGGACTCTTTGAAATTGTAGTAAGTTTTGTGTTTTGTATTTTATTCAAGCAACAATTTAAAAATTAATTATTAATTATTTATTTATTTAGCTGGATTTGGACTTTTTGAAATCGTATTAAGTTTTGTGTTTTGTATTGCATTCAAGCAACAATTTTTTAAAAAGGACTTTTATTTTGTACACGTGAACACGTCACTGCCGGTTTTCCCTGTGTGTTGTATTGTTTCCGGCTTTCCGCTGTCTTCACGTTAACGTTGTAATATTACTGTGGATTTTGCATCGATCCGGACGGATCCAGCTGTCGTTTCCATCACATTTCTGGCCGTCAGGATGATCCCGACCGAAGACGCGTCCGCTCGCAAGCGGGAGATCGAGGACAAACTCAAACAGGTCCGTTAAAAAGAGGAAGAATGAAGAATAACATGAGAATCCCGTGATCAGGGAGCGGATGTTATTTATTAATATTCGCCAGAAACTGCGTGATTGTCTTAAAAAAGAATGTCACAAAGCATTTTAGAAGCTTAATGATAGAAAAATTATCATGTCAAAAAAATCTGGTGTTATTATAATCGACAGTATGCATATATCTTGAGCTGTTTGCTTTCTACAGGAACAAGAAACTCTGTCTTTTATTCGTGAAAGCCTGGAGAAGAGTGATCAGCTCACTAAAGGAATGCGTGATCAGGGAGCGGATGTTATTTATTAATATTCGCCAGAAACTGCGTGATTGTCTTAAAAAAGAATGTCACAAAGCATTTTAGAAGCTTAATGATAGAAAAATTATCATGTCAAAAAAATCTGGTGTTATTATAATTGAGAGTATGCATATATCTTGAGCTGTTTGCTTTCTACAGGAACAAGAAACTCTGTCTTTCATTCGTGAAAGCCTGGAGAAGAGTGATCAGCTCACTAAAGGAATGGTGAGAGAGAGTGTGTGTGCATGTATACTGAGCTTTGGCAATATTGTATCATTTACAGTCATGCCAATAAAGCAATTTTGAATTGAATTGAATTTAGAGAGTGTGTG